ATTCCATCAGACTTCAATCATTTGTAATATTTCTTTAGACATTTATAAATTTTATAACATATCATTAGACACATACCAAAAATTGTAATACATTGTATATCATTAAACACATACCAAAAATTGTAATACATTGTATATCATTAAACACATACCAAAAATTGTAATACATTGTATATCATTAAACACATACCAAAAATTGTAATACATTGTATATCATTAGACACATACCAAAATCTGTAATATATCATTACACACACCAAAAATTGTAATATATCATTAGACACATATCAAAAATTGTTTTATGCCTTTAGTCACACATCAAATTTTTAATATATCTTGTGTATTATTTCATTACACATAAAATATTACCGTAATTTAAATTTGTAATATGTCATTAGACATATCACCAATTTTTTCAATATGATATCATGAAACAAATCCTAAAATTTGTTATATACATGCATCATTGGACACAGACGAAACTTAGAATATATCATTAGACACATCTCAAATTTGTCAGATGCCATATATCACATACCATATTTGTAATATATATAATGCATACCAATTGTGTTCTATTCCGTTAGACTCAAATCATTTGTAATATTTCTTTAGACATATATCAAATTTATAACATATCATTAGACATATACCAAAATTGTGATATATCATTAGACACATACAATTTTTTTAATATATCATGAGACGCATAACAAACTTGTAATATGTGATATTAAAAATTTTCATAAGATACAACCTCTATGTTATCATAGACATATATACATGACCATTTTTAGGAAAAAACACGGAATCTATTATACGGAGCTTGGGTGATGTTTCAACTCTAGTGCTCTTACACATTCTGCAGATTTTATAATGATTTTGTCGGAGAATTCACTCGTTTTATAAAAGATTCTGCCGTCCATAGTCCACAGGGCATAAATGTGTTTTTCTTTGCGTAGCTTGTTGAGACGGCTTACAAGTCCTGATCGGTGTCCTGTGAGACTCTCCGTAATGAAGATGTTGTTGTCTAGGTTTTTACACTGTTTTTTGTTTTGGAAGATTTTGTGTCGGTCTGTGTAGCGAACAAAGCGCGCAATAACAGTCGTCGTACCATTTTTGACCTTACCCAGAACATGGGACCTGGAAATGTCCTCCCGATTTATGTTTACCTTGATAGCACGAGCAATGTTTATTACTGCCTCATGTGTATCAAAAGCAGAAAGATCCCCGTGGGGTACTGGGACGTTGTGGAATTTAAGCGCAGTGCGCCTGGAGTACTGTTGTTGTTCTTCCAACTCTGAGCGAAGATCATTCATTTCCGTTTTCAGATCCTTTAATTCTGATGCTTGCTTTTCAATTGTTTGTAAGAGGGGTGACACTTTTTCCCTGACGTTTTTAGTGACGATACTGTCGAGTTGGCTATCATTATTAATGGCGGTACTCACAGCACTCTGTATCATAGGTTGGATTGTCTGAGTGAGTGAGTTTTCTATTAAACTAGCCACCATTGTTGCTATGGTAGGAGCAAGCATCTGGGCAAATTCTTGCAGAAATTCAGGTGAAATTTGGGATTCAAGTTTATTGCCAGCCATGTTTGAATTACCGGTTACGTGAGAACCCGGTGTTCCTAAATCAGGGCGTTTGTTCTCGATAATGTCCGGAGACACTGGACTAGACATTTGTTTCCGTTTATCAGTAGCAGCTCCACAAATAGGGGTTGTGAAAACTAGAGCCTGTTCTTTGGTAATATGGAACCCTGTATCAGTTTTAGACGAGCACGCCATACTATATATACTGTTCACTATACGTATTTTATATAAGTAATGTTTCTATATGTGGCTATATATAGCTAAGATGGCTGTCCTTTGTTCGGTCACTATGAATCACAAAAATCGCCAAACTGACCTGATATCCTAAATATGGTGCAAAAATATAGGGTACAGTTTGTAATTGAATGTCCGTGTACACTTACTTGGAGTCTGGAGCTTAGAAAAATGTCGAGAAATATAAGAATTACATCAAAATGTCCCCACCACACAAGCACCGGTCAGTACACTCAGGCCATCAACTCGCCATGTTAAATCGAGTCGATTTCAGTATCTTTTGGTATACTGTGACGTCACTGGTCACTTATTGGGTTTTCAGATTTTTACTCAACTGTTTCCGTGAAATCGATAATTTTGCCATTTTAACAATGTCGCTTTTATGGTTCATCTTTGAAAATTTTTATTTCTTGTAAAGTGGTCACAGTAACCTATATTTTCATATATATAAAAAAAGATTTTTTGCTGAAGATACCCTTTAAACACCACACAATGTTGAATCTGTTTATGTTTTTTTCCTCTTTACATTTTTGCTAATAATTAAAAAGATAAAAGAAAAAACAAAACAAAGTTCAAGTGGTGTGATTGTTTTCTATGGAGCAGAATTAATGAAATAAAAATAAAAACAGTCGCCATGCAGGGTTAGCTCAGTTGGTAGAGCATAGGCTCCACGACCAGAAGGGTGCAGAGGGCCGGGTGGGTTTGAATCCCGGCAGCAGCAATTTCTTTCACCTCTGTTTCAAGTGGGAAGGAAGTGGTAAACCCCAAAGAAACAAACAAAACAAGTTTGCTTTTACAGTAATATAAAGTCTTTATAAAATGGCCACCAAGATACATCACTGATATAATGGTTACTTTCTAAACTGGCATTAAATTCTTAAATTTTTGTTTTTGTTTTATTTATATCATGTTAATGGTTTTTTTTTCATCAAGAATATTAATACCTTATTGGAAGACTTTAAGATTTTATTTCAACTGTTTAACCATAACAGTAAACATTCATTTTATCACAGACCATTCACAAAGTAAAACTTTGTAAAAGAGTAGAAACATGTCCAGATAATTTCATTTCCCTTCAGTCAATAAATATCCGAAAATGGTCAGTCCGAAATCAAGCTTGTTTATAAATACACACATTAACATGCGGCTTATTAGCACATGAGAGAGGATTATAAAACTTATGCTAGCAAAATTTTGAGTGAAAAACAAATACTGATGTTCATTGTAATATTGTACACGTGAGTCTGTGAATATTTACGCACTTTTGAGCAGACATAAATAAAAAATGCTTTCCTTTAGAAGGACACCACAGGATCTCCTCGTTAAGTTGATACTTAGGCCGTCCGCACAATCGGAGCCAAGACTTGCACTTCTCATGCTTCATCTGAGATTTGGGAAACGGTATGAACACAACACCTCCCTATAATCGCTCGGGGTAGCGAAATCGGTGTTGCAAGTTCCCCAGCAGCAAAGTATCACCATTGTCGGAGAATGTCGGAGTAGCGAAATGTAAACAAAGAGGCGAATACTACCCGCGATCTGATTGGCTAAACCGCGCTGTCAATCAAAAGCTGTCGATCGGCCAATTTCACCCAGTGTAAATTCGCTTTCAGTTCATAAAAATATATGTCTGTGTAAATTGTGCATACTCAACCGACCTTTTGTTTTACTATAATTACAAAAGGACGAAACGGGTGACAGATAAAATTCGATAAAGGTTTCCCCTTTCTGTATTCTAGACAGCAGGTAAAGTGAATGTTGTCTAAGATATACAAGCGGAGATAACCAGTGACAGACAGGTCCAATACTGTATAGCATAAAAATAAATACCTGCAAGCTTGTCACCGAAATGTCCATAGTCACAATGACAGATTGTCTCATTTAGACTAGCATTATTTAGTTTTAATGCTTAACATTCGTTGTTCGATTTTTTTAATCCCTCGAACGAATTCACATTATCAACCACGACAGTCGCAAGACAGACAATACTTGTGGCCTATACTGGATTGGCTCCACATTTTGATTATATTAAGACATCTTCACCAGAGGCGCTTTCACGGCTACATAGAACCTAGAACTTATTATAAGATTGACAAAGACGACAAAGGATATATACTGTATCAGATATAGTGTTTAAACGCGACGACCTGGACAAACACCAAAAGGTGATCGATTGATTCCTGAAGAATTCAGTTAAGTGTTAGTTTTAAAGATATTAATACATCATAAGAGGCACAGACGAAAATCAGTAAATATATAATTTCAGCGGCCAATATATTTCAAATCATTCTAACACACACACGTATAATGATACTTTAATTTGCCTGTGCAAACTTGATTTTTTTTGACGGAAGAATATTACTGTAATCTCATTGAATGGATATTTTGCACTTTTTGGCAAATTTCAACCTATAAGCGATACCGAAACTCAGTCAGTGTCTGGTGATAGATTTTATGAAAAATATTGAATAAATACATAGAGTTTGTACTGCAATCACTAAGACTTTTTGCTGGTATTGGAATCCCATTGCCTGGTTGGCCTTATTTCTCGTCGATTTCAAAATGAAAGTACAGATTATTTAGCGCTGTTCGGCTAATAAGAAGCACACATGTTGTGGTCCAGTCATAGACGAGCGAATATTTGCAGATCGATCTAGTTATGTCTATTAAAAAATCTGCAAATTGTTTGTTTATAGCGAATGAATTGAGGCGAACAATTTCTGTATGAACAATGTACTGTAATCTTTCAATGCACTGTAGGCTTTATTTTAGACCTTCGTGTACAAAGGGTCATAGTTCATTCGACAAAAGTGGTCTATTCCTTACCTTCTTATACACCGCCAATTCTAGTACGATCCACACTGGTCATTTGTCTGACGAAGATGACCATGTAGTCACCGAAACGTCACACTCTAATCTTCTACTAGTTGTGTTGTAAGAACTTCTATTCTATTAACATTACCAAAAATGTTTTGAAATATTTTGCAGATGAACCTGATCAATAAGATATACGACCCGACCATCAACTCACCTGTTACATCACAGATAAACAATATCAGAACACTAGTCTCGCCCTTTTTTCATGTAAACGGAAGCGGAAAGTTAAGCATAAAAACAACAATACCACGCGATCTGTAAATTTCTCCGGTCAAGGTACATGGTACACATATGTATATATTTTGTGTGTTGTGTGTGTGCATAGCGAGTCCATGCTAACAGGTTAGTACAGAGTAAATATTTCTATTATGCACTCATTTTATTCTTGAAAGCATGTCTAATTTTTATAAATAGTTGTTATATCGCTTCATTTTCGTCTCCAATTTGGCATTTGGTTTTCCCCAGTATAGATTTGAGAAAATGAAAGTAACCTCCCACCCCCCCATAAAAAAACATAACTAAAAAACTAACTATTCTGTGTAATATCGACAAAATGAAACGACACGATCGATCTTAGTCGCGTCATTGACGGAAGTATATTTGAAACAAAGAATACAACATTTTTTTCTCATTATTTACTTGGATTTATTATTTCTGCGAATTCCGGTTAGTACGCCTGATTGACAATATAGTTTTAACAGCACAAAGAATAGTCTATTTCTAAAAGATTGTATACCACCGTTTATCATAACTATAGCTTTACTTCAAAAGACACTTATATAACAACATATTGAATTTGACAGTAAAATTAATTAATGGATGTTGAATGGAAAACTTGACAACACGTTTAGTTGTTTGAAACATCGATTCTTAAATGGTAATTAAAAAAAAAATATTTGCATGAAACAACAAAAGAGATCATGAAATTCCATTTTTTTTCAAATACACCAGCATAGTCTATGTATGCATTGTATAGTCTAGGTTTGTATCTTATAGTCTATGTATTGTATAGTTTATGTATTACATAGTCTCTGTATTGTATAGACTATGTATTGTAAAGTCTATGTATTGTAAAGTCTATGTATTGTATAGTTTATGTATTACATAGTCTCTGTATTGTATAGTCTATGTATTGTAAAGTCTATGTATTGCAAAGTTTATGTATTGTACAGTATATGTATTGTATCAGACAGTGTCTGTATGTATTATACAGTATATATATTGTATCAGACAGTCTCTGTATGTATTGTACAGTATATGTATTGTATTAGACAGTGTCTGTATGTATTATACAGTATATGTATTGTATCAGACAGTCTCTGTATGTATTATACAGTATATGTATTGTATAAGACAGTGTCTGTAAGTATTGTGCAGTATATGTATTGTATCAGACAGTATCTGTATGTATTGTACAGTATATGTATTGTCTTAGACAGAGTCTGTATGTATTATACTGTATATGTATTGTATTAGACAGTCTCTGTACGTATTGTACAGTATATATATTGTATCAGACAGTGTCTGTATGTATTATACAGTATATGTATTGTATCAGACAGTCTCTGTATGTATTATACTGTATATGTATTGTATTAGACAGTCTCTGTACGTATTGTACAGTATATGTATTGTATTAGACAGTCTCTGTATGTATTGTACAGTATATGTATTGTATTAGACAGTCTCTGTATGTATTGTACAGTATATGTATTGTATTAGACAGTCTCTGTATGTATTGTGCAGTATATGTATTGTATCAGACAGTCTCTGTATGTATTGTACAGTATATATATTGTATCAGACATTCTCTGTATGTATTGTACAGTATATATATTGTATCAGACAGTGTCTGTATGTATTGTACAGTATATGTATTGTATTAGACAGTGTCGGTATGTATTAAACAGTATATGCATTGTACAGTATATGTATTGTATCAGACAGTGTCTGTATGTATTATACAGTATATGTATTGTATTAGACAGTCTCTGTATGTATTGTACAGTATATGTATTGTACAGTATATGTATTGTACAGTATATATATTGTATCAGACAGTCTCTGTATGTATTGTACAGTATATGTATTATACAGTATATATATTGTATTAGACAGTGTCTCTATGTATTGTACAGTATATGTATTGTACAGTATATGTATTGTATCAGACAGTGTCTGTATGTATTGTACAGTATATGTATTATACAGTATATGTATTGTATCAGACAGTCTCTGTATGTATTGTACAGTATATGTATTATACAGTATATGCATTGTATTAGACAGTCTCTGTATGTATTGTACAGTATATGTATTATACAGTATATGTATTGTATCAGACAATCTCTGGATGTATTGTACAGTATAGGTATTGTATCAGACAGTGTCTGTATGTATTATACAGTATATGTATTGTATCAGACAGTCTCTGTATGTATTGTACAGTATATATATTGTATCAGACAGTCTCTGTATGTATTATGCAGTATATGTATTGTATTAGACAGTCTCTGTATGTATTGTACAGTATATATATTGTATCAGACAGTCTCTGTATGTATTATACAGTATATGTATTATACAGTATATGTATTGTATCAGACAGTCTCCGTATGTATTGTACAGTATATGTATTGTACAGTATATGCATTGTATTAGACAGTGTCTGTACGTATTATACAGTATATGTATGGTATTAGACAGTCTGTATGTATTATACAGTATATGTATTGTATCAGACATTTTCTGTATGTATTGTACAGTCTCTGTAGGTATTGTACAGTATATGTATTGTATTGTTCAGTCTCTGTATGTATTATACAGTATATGTATTGTATCAGACAGTGTCTGTATGTATTGTACAGTATATGTATTGTACAGTATATGTATTGTATCAGACAGTGTCTGTATGTATTATACAGTATATGCATTGTACAGTATATGCATTGTATTAGACAGTGTCTGTACGTATTATACAGTATATGTATGGTATTAGACAGTCTCTGTATATATTATACAGTATATGTATTGTATCAGACACTCTCTGTATGTATTGTACAGTATATATATTGTATCAGACAGTGTCTGTATGTATTATACAGTATATGTATTGTATCAGACAGTCTCTGTATGTATTATACTGTATATGTATTGTATCAGACACTCTCTGTATGTATTGTACAGTATATATATTGTATCAGACAGTGTCTGTATGTATTATACAGTATATGTATTGTATTAGACAGTCTCTGTATGTATTGTACAGTATATGTATTGTATCAGACACTCTCTGTATGTATTGTACAGTATATATATTGTATCAGACAGTGTCTGTATGTATTATACAGTATATGCATTGTACAGTATATGCATTGTATTAGACAGTGTCTGTACGTATTATACAGTATATGTATGGTATTAGACAGTCTCTGTATGTATTATACAGTATATGTATTGTATCAGACAGTCTCTGTATGTATTGAATTGAATTGAATTGTATCAGACAGTCTCTGTATGTATTGTACAGTATATGTATTGTATCAGACAGTCTCTGTATGTATTGTACTGTATATGTATTATACAGTATATGTATTTTATTAGACAGTCTCTGTATGTATTGTACAGTATATGTATTGTATCAAACAGTGTCTGTATGTATTATATAGTATATGTATTGTATCAGACAGTCTCTGTATCTATTGTACAGTATATGTATTGTATCAGACACTCTCTGTATGTATTATACAGTATATGTATTGTATAAGACAGTGTCTGTACGTATTGTACAGTATATGTATTGTATCGGACAGTCTCTGTATGTATTGTACAGTATATGTATTGTATTAGACAGTGTCTGTATGTATTATACAGTATATGTATTTTATCAGACAGTGTCTGTACGCATTATACAGTATATGTATTGTATCAGACAGTGTCTGTACGTATTGTACAGTATAGGTATTGTATCAGACAGTGTCTGTATGTATTGTACAGTATATGTATTGTATTAGACAGTCTCTGTATGCATTGTACAGTATATGTATTGTATTAGACAGTCTCTGTATGTATTGTACAGTATATGTATTGTACAGTATATGCATTGTATTAGACAGTGTCTGTACGTATTATACAATATATGTATGGTATTAGACAGTCTGTATGTATTATACAGTATATGTATTGTATCAGACATTGTCTGTATGTATTGTACAGTATATGCATTGTATTGTTCAGTCTCTGTATGTATTATACAGTATATGTATTGTATTGAACAGTATATAATATTGTATCAGACAGTGTCTGTATGTATTGTACAGTATATGTATTGTATTAGACAGTGTCTGTATGTATTAAACAGTATATGCATTGTACAGTATATGTATTGTATTAGACATTCTCTGTATGTATTGTACAGTATATATATTTTATTAGACAGTGTCTGTATGTATTGTACAGTATATGTATTGTATTAGACAGTGTCTGTCTGTATTAAACAGTATATGCATTGTACAGTATATGTATTGTATCAGACAGTCTCTGTATGTATTATACATACTCTTGATCAACAATGAGACCCAAAGTGAGGTGTGATATTAAAAAAAGAAGAGTGTTTAGAAGTAGATCTAAGATACTAAATTATCCTATGTTATATCATCGCGTGCAGTCATGTTTACAGTAAGTAGGGCCCAGCTACAAGCCTATGTATACAGTGGCTATGTCTGATACAAGTCTATGCATACAGTGGCTATGTCTGAGGGGAGGTTATTTTCAAGTGGCGAATCCAGAACATCACATGGACATCTATAATTCGATATGTTATCATTGTATTGGACATTAACATTATGTTTACATGCTGAAATTTACTTCAAGTCACATTTAATAACATGTACATTGACTAGTCGACAAAATCTGGCAGTCCGGAAAACTCGTAATCCGAACAATATTGGCTGGGAACGAATTTCTTCGGTTCAAACCTTATGGCACACATACACGTTTTTTCCTTGATTAGGGAATGTAAATGGCATATACACAGCATAAAGTTTAAATATTATATCCATTATAATAAGAGATCCGGTTAGATTTTTAATGGACTGGTGTACAGTTACATTGACATTATTTTGACACACATACAGTAACAGAAGTCTGTACGTGGTATATGTTAAATTGAGAAGGTTGTCAAGGTTTCCGGATTAAATGTGATATACACTGTTATTCTCCATTGCTTACAGATGACAAAGAAACGGTAATTATTTGACACACTACTATTATGTATAAAACAATACATTAACCTTGATACTCTTGTCCTTGTGCTTTTAAGTTCCGAACATGGCCTATTCTAAAACTTCAAGTGACCGCAGGGATCGGAGACCTGATTTAGTTGTAGCGTTTGATTTCGGAACAACGTATTCCGGATATGCCTACGCCTTTCGGCGTCAATTTGAGTCTAACAACTTGAACGTGACGTTGAATCCTCCGTGGACGACCACCTCAGATAACCTACTTTCAAAGAAGACACCGACATCACTTTTGCTCAATCCTCTAGGGGAATTCTACGCCTTCGGGACGAAAGCAGATAACAAATTTGCGGAGTTAGCATGCGAGGACCAACATCGGGACTGGTACTACTTTCGGAGATTTAAGATGAAATTGCATTCAAAAAAGGTATACAGATCAACAGAGATTTTCTTCCAGTATGATTTCGACGAAAGAAAACCAAAATATACTAATGTGAATTTAGCATCGTTTTTTTCTGCAAAATAGAAAGTTGCAAGATGTATGAATTTGATAATTTCAAAACCATTAGATCTTTAGAAACATAAAGATACCAAACTACCTTGATGATACGTTTTGTCAAATCTTGATCAATAAGAAAGAAAAAAAAAATGTCTCGATATATAGAAAATCATAAAAGGAGATAAAGTATGGAAGTGATCGACACTATACAACCGATTGTGTAAATTTCTTTCTTTCTTTTTATATTTTTCAAATCGCACATCGTGATCTTGATATTCTGTATTCAGTTAGACACTACTGTGTTAACAGGAGCTGAAGAGAGGTTTGAAGATGAAGGACGAACTTGGAAAACCAATGCTGGCCTCCACTGTTTTTAGCATGGCTATAGGTGCTCTAAAAGAACACTTCCTAAATACTCTGAGGACCAAAGAGGCACAGGATCCAAACTCCCTGGATATCTTGTGGGTCCTGACCGTGCCCGCTATATGGAGGGATTCAGCAAAGCAGTTCATGCGTGAAGCGGCTATGGAGGTAGGACATGCAATGGAAATATATCAAACGTGAAAAGTACGTGATCACTTGTCCGTAATGCTCATTGGTATATATAACAAATTATTGAAGGGCACAGATAATGTTTTGCTTTAGTATTTTGTGACTTTTAAAATAACAGTTTCCGTGCTTTGCAATCAATAATTACAGACTTGAATGTTTTTAACAAATAGGCGGGAATCGATGGGCATAACCTCATTTTAGCGCTGGAACCGGAAGCTGCGTCATTGTTTTGTCAGCTGCTTCCTATTGACAAACTCCATACAAACAAAGAGACTCGTTTCTCAGTGTGTCGTCCGGGCGCCACCTTCATGGTAGTTGATTTGGGAGGTAAGTATATCTATAGCATATTTGAAGGACTTTTACTATAGACCAAAATTATTTTGATAAATACTTTGAAATTATTTTTTCTGGTAAATCCGATATACAACTGGACCAGTATCTAATCATCATTCGAGAGATGAAGGTTGATTAAGTCGTTAATATTATGGGCTCGTTTTATGGTCGTCACAATGATCTACAGAAATACCTTGTGAAATGATAAAATGGCCGTGTTTAATGCTGGTTAGTATGTTTCGTGTTATTTCGTTGTTGTTTATCTTGTTTTCGTTTGACAACGTGACATTACTTACTTATATATATATATAAGATTTACATGGCGGCTGCCGTCGATGAAGTAGAAGACGCTAAGCTTTCCCGAGCACCTGATCAGTGTATATCTTTCTTTTGTTCATATTTTTTATCTCCGTTTCATCGGTTTTGAGTTTGTTCTAAAATTTTACTGGCATTTTGTTGTTTTCGTTTTTTCTAGGAGGGACGGCTGATATCACAGTTCAACGACGGGAGAACGACGGCAGTCTTTGTGAGATGTATGCAGCTACCGGTGGTCCTTGGGGGGGAGTGGGTGTCGATCGACAATTCATGATCTTCATAACGAGACTGATGGGACCAGATGTGATGTCACGATTTTCAAAGGAATGCTCCGAAGACCTTATGGATATGTACAGATGTCTGGAAACCTGTAAGCGAACCATTCGTCCAAACAGTTCTGGATACTTTACAATTAGCATTCCAGAAACTCTCACAGATATTTACAAGGATGCTATGAAAGAAAAATTTGGTACCAGGTTTCCAGAAGAATTTGAAAATAAAATAAAGTTTTCACATGGTAACCTTAAAGTAGACGTTCAGCTATTAAAGGACTGTTTTACCCCTGTCATTGAAGAAATAAAAAATCATGTCAAAAATATTCTGTTACAAGACAATTGCGCAAGCGTCAAAACAGTCTTGATGGTGGGAGGCTTTGCCGAGTCTGAAATGGTTTCCTCTGTTATGGTGAAAGAATTTCCTAACTGTCGAATTGTAATTCCTGTGGAATCTGAGACAGTCGTTCTCTGTGGCGCAGTGATATATGGTCATTCTCCTGGAACTATTTCTACTCGCGTCGTTAGATACACATACGGTGTGAGTTATATGGTTGAGTTCGAACCAAACAAACATCCGGAGGATAAAAAAGTAGAAAAAGAAGGCGAGGCTCCTCAATGTAAAGATTTGTTTGAGATTTTCGTACAAATGGGAACGCCACTTAAAACGGGTGAATCCATATCAAAAGTGTACAGTCCTGCCCGAAAGGATTCGAAAAGAATGGTCATTAAGGTATATGCCTCTAGTAAGAAAGATCCGCAGTTTGTAACAGAGGAAGGTTGTTGGCGGCTTGGGATATTGCTTGTGGACCTGCCTGATTCCAACGATAACTCCGAACTGGATGTTCAAGAACGCATGATTTTCGGGGAGACGGAGCTCAGGGTTGAAGCAGTGGAACCTGTTTCAGGCAAAACATTTTCGACGCGGTTTGACTTCCTCTAACTGTTCACTGAGAGAATGTAGGTGTAACAGGAAGGAGTAACGAAAAAATACAACCGCTTTACTAAAGGGAAATTCCCACAAGCCGAGGCTGGTAAAATGACCAGTACTCTCACCTTTTACATTCGCTATTAATTTTGATTAAGTAAGACCATGATGTAGTGCCCGATCCAGATTGAAATTGTACCTAAATTGGTTTGGCTCGAGGTGTCTTGTATTCTTGTATTGTATGTAACAATTTGCAAACAGGTGATTGGTATATCACTGGATATAGTCGAAAGACAAAATTGTTTTGGATTATTGACGCGTTGTTAACACTTGATTGACACTACATAACGTGTGGTAAAGATACACGATTCAATCATTGTTGACGAGAAATTCTTTCCATAGAAAATTCAAGATGTATCTAATAATCTTTGTAAAATAATGCTATATTTCAGTAGTACACACCCATGGACCTGTTCGTTAATTATGTTGTAAAATACGTAGTTTTATGGGGTTTTTTTTTATTGAAGGGAGTATTACAACTTCTTAAAATAAAGTGCCAGACCATTCCGCCCGAACGTTAAGACAATGTTATTATACAAAGATATTACGAATCTTTCGTTAGACAAAACAAATTGATATTAGCTTGTTAGACTGTGTTTATAGATACTGTTTATCACAGAATGTGGATTTTTTTGTGTAAATATAGTACATAACATTGTGTACAATACAAGGGTATATTTCTCTTGTCCTTCCACACATTCAGTTAGATTTGTATCATAGTACCATAGTACTAGACAGAGACAGAGAAATTAAATTAGAAAAAAAATATGTGTATGTTTGTATTACGACTGGAAAAAAGTTTTTTTTTACTTATATTTGCTTGCAGTAAGCAACGAATGATATAGGCTTTGTAACTACTTTAACATTCGTATTTAAAAAACACTTTATATGTGTCAACATATTTTCCAGGTATCCGAACTAGGTAGAAGATACTTCTGTGAAAATGAACGCAAACAGAGCCATATATGGTGTTAAACTGTGTTATACCTACTGGCCGACAATACCGAGAATCAGCTCTGTCTACAAACATACACACGTGTGTACCGCATAAGATTAAATAACAAGTTCGCTAGGCATGCGCACGCCACACCTTGTACATATGTATACATTACAGGCATTAGTCATCCAATACTGCATTTATACTTATCAAAGTTTTACTTATAAAGGTTAAAAGGTTAGTTTGTTGATTTTTTTAGTAATAAGTACTTGTAATTAGAGGTATTTCGTCCCTATCAGTTGATCATTTCGTCGTAAATGTTTCTTTATTTAACAATGACTAATGGATATTTTTTTAAACTTTGGTGTTGTTTTTTTTTCTGGGCATGCTTTTTCATTTTGTCAAAAAAAGCGTTTTGTTTTTTGTTTTTTCCTTTTTTGTTTTGTTTTGTGTGTTTTTTATGATTTTGTTATTTTGGTTTTCTTATTTGGCGATTTATTTTCTTATAAGTTTCATTACTTGGAGATGGACAACAAAAGCGGAGTTTTAAAATCCTCTATATCTTGTGTATGCAATTGTACTTATTGTTTGTTTATATTATATATAACTCTAAATTTGTATACGAGTACGCCTTTAGTTCAATGTATCAATACATATGTCTATTTAATTTGTATCGTGGCTTCTCATAGACCGTCCATTTGTATATTGGACTAAAAATAATGTGTTATTGCTGGAAATGACGTAGATTTTGTGATATATGTACTTGAAATTTCCTTGATAAATATTTCAAGAATATTGGAACATTTTTATTTGTGTCATTGACTTCCTTTATAAACTCTATCTACTTTTGGTTGTGATTGATTAAAAAACCTGGTAAAAAACAGGCGCATCAACGAGTTAAAAATGCTATATCTTGTAAATTAAAGAAGACAAAACAAAACATGCTCACCATTGTAAGAGTATTTTGGCCTAAGTTTCGTTGGACAAGTAACGTAGTGTACCACAGAAGACTTCCTCAATGAACGATGTGGATCACATGCATTTTGTCACCTATTCTTGATGTGACCGCGTGACAACTTTGACTTCCTTCGATTGTGATGATTTCCAACCAATGTTAATGTGATAAATATGCTTTTTTATTTGCATTTTTCCACGTTTTTTTAAATCTATTTTCGTTGTTGTCATCGTGGTGAGTTGTATATACGTGTAAATGTTACTCGAATATTGTGACATTCAATGTTGAGTTGTGACACGATTCCTTGAGTGTCGATGTTGTAACGTGTGGCACTTAAGTGTTTATATTTGTACTTGGTACGCAGTATGTAATGTCCATCGAAAGCATTGGTGTACCGTATGTTATATTAAATATATATTCCATTTTGTCCCTGGTTTACGTCCCCACCATCAAATCGCCCTACGTCTTATGTCTGTGGTCCGTCCGTGTACAATTTTTGTTCCTTCGTAAGAAGAACTTAATTAATCTTTCTCAAATTCCCTATATAGATTCCTCTGGGTCCCTACATGTGCCCCTTTGATATTTGGGACTTATAGAAGAAACAAAACGGGTTGACAGGCGGCCATATTAGATATAGTAGTTAGAGATTATATTATCGTTTTTTTCTTAAGTGAACTTTTCGACTTTCATATAAATAAGAGCACAACTAGTGCCAGGAAGAGAAAACAAGGAAAAGCTTAAAGAACAATTCAAGTGGGCGCAAATGTCCCTCTGGAATCTCTTGACAAACTCCTGTATAGTTTTGTGTATGTAGAGGAAATTGTGGGCATATGTAACTGGTGAAATAAAAGTCTGTACTCCGATAGTACTCATATGTATAGTTTTGTGCATTTAGGTATTCCTGTGTTACCATTCAAATATATTCCATTCAGGATTTCAGAAAAAAAGCAGGGTAAACAAAAATATTCGAATATGTTGACAAAATCTTGATTCAAATCAAAAATCGATAAAGAGGGGATTATGAATAACTTAAATATCTACATCTAACTCCTAGAAAAGGATCCAACGAGAATAAAACTAGAATTTCTTCTGTCTCCTGTTTCATTGGAGTAAGACCGAAACCAATGTCGGCAATTGATTCAAACTTGTCTTAAAGTATAATATACACTCAACGCAGGTTATCAATTAAAATGATAAAACTGAAATCACGCATAGCTACAATAGCATACAATATATAAAGCAGGTGTATATTTCTATATCAGCTGTACGAGGAGCAACCTGAGACTGGTATTAATGAAAGCAGACGTCCCATAAATATTTTTTCATTGTCTAGTATTTACTTCGTGCACTCTACAAAATCACGCGTATCAAGAGCGCTGTTTTCATTACAACTTCATTTGTTGAGGAGTTCATGAAGTATCTTGTGCACAATTGATCAAAAGTGACCAAGTGTGACCTTTGAACTTTTAACTTTGACCAAAGAGCACCAAATTGCTACATGATCTTCAATCTATTAAGTGATTTATAAAGTATCATGCACCAGAAGTTTTGAAAATCTTTTAAAAAGTTCGACCTTTATTCCTTACTCGTTGCCTGATGACCACAAAGTTCTGATCAGGTGTGACTTCTCAAAAACCACGACAAAAAAATCATTGAAATCTTGTATAGCTCTTCCATGGCCAAAGGAGAACTAAAGGTGTGAGTGATTGATATGTTTTACGGTCCTTGCCACCATAAGCTGGATGGGAGGGGATAAAAGTGGCCAAATTGACTAAAATTTCAAAAACATTTTCCTTAAGGTGTGGATATAGTAGAATCAAATACTTTATTTTTTGATGGAAGGGTATCCAGATGCTTTGTTGATGAGGGTAAGTCTTACGTGTAGGAAAATAAAATTTTGAAGCATACTTATAAAAATGGGTTGATAGTTCATGTTATGTAAGTTTACCTTTGTATTACAGCCACAATATATATACTAAACAAAACATACACAACACGAAGAAAATAGTCAACATAATCATAATCCAAAAAAAAAAAAAAAAAAATTCAAAAATACAAGATTTGTTTTAATTTGTTAACAAGGTGATTTTATGGCATATGTTACTAAGAGAAAAAACATAACTGGATTTGCGTAATTAATCAGGTATATGTATAATTGTTTTATACACTTCTCGGTTCAAATTTGCATTCGGAGGCGCTATAACTCAGAAGGTTCGACAATTGACCTACGTAACCTCAAGTGAACATCCGAGGTGCCTGGTTCGACGCTTCCTATCCGTTGCGGTGTCTCTGTGCTGCTGACGTGGTAATGTCCATGGGCAAGACAATTTACCCAACTGATCAGGACGTCATGCGACGAACCTCGCGTATGGTGTTCATGGTAGTCATCGACTGCTTTAAGGAGATTCCGCTCCAAAATTGAACTGGCTATTCCGCGGGGAATTTAGTAAGTTCACTGGGGCTATTTCATCCAACCAGTAAATAAACTGTTTAATTCAATAGAGTATTTCTTGTTTTGAGCTTGCGCAGAAATTGCAAAAAAATCAATGGTCAAGGAAATCAAAAGTCGCCATAAGAGGTTTCCTATCTTCTTGTGTAGCCTCTACCGCCAGCTCTGTATCACCAAATGTCATTCTAACCTCAATATTTGTGTTTTCGTCTGACCCTGGGGACAACGGTACCACGATCTTTCCTAAGTAATTGCAGGAGGCATCAGTCGTGTATCGTGGGTTTTCCTCATCAGAGATGAATATCTTCACCACGACACTAGTTGAGTCTGCGTAAAGAGGTGTGTATCGTTGCGTTTCAAGCGGTTCTCCGACCATGACCTTTTGATTAACCTCCACGTGCTTTGAGAATGCGTCACTACACTTATCCTGCCCTCTTACAGTGATACGCTTCTGGATAGGGTCGCTGGATGTAAATGGGCGTGTTATTGAAATGCCGTAAGTATATTTCGCTTTCCGGGAGATGATGGTTTGTGGATTATGCCCGAATAACACGGCACCTTTAACGACTGCAAGACCTGCGTCCTCTGGAATGATGATGCGCTTGTCTGGAAAGTTTGACCTAATGGCGTCTTGTATAAGAACACATTCCGAAAAACCCCCGACCATCAGGAAAGTTGAGACGTTCTTACAAGTTTCTTTCTTTAAAAGATCTCGAATGTGCTCCACAATGCTATCGGCTGACAATTTGAAAAGATCTTTTATCAAGTTTGGATCAACTTTAAGTTTGTCTCCTGTCCAAGTCATCTTTCCTTTGAAATTTGTCTGTCTGATAGTGTCTTTGAGGGTAACGCCGAATTCCTCCTCAAACAACTCGCCCAGTTGGTAAGGCATTCTAAGCGTCACCTTGTTGGAACAATCGTTTGTTATTGTTCTTTTCTTCGTTTCAAATTCTCTAAATAACTCTATTTCATCGCCTGTGTGATGTTTTTTGAAATTTTCCATGACACGAGCTCCGACTATCTGCACTAGAAGCTGAAGAAAGGACTCGTCAACCTTAGTCCCGCCCCAGGCTCCTCCGCTTGCTTTGAATATCTCCTCTAATTTATCATCCTCAAGTACTCGTTGCACAGTTACGTCAACAGTACCACCTGTCCATAATAAACAAAGATATGCCGTGTCACGTGTATTAGTTTACATATAACATTGACAGCATGGTATATTTAGGATTCTTTAAGACATTGCAAGTCACCAGCATCTGCTGTAACCGTTCCCAAGAAATCACTACTTTTACGGGGCTGATGAATACCATTATACGGCGTAATCTCAGCTCTTGAAAACATAACAACAGAACTCTTCGTATTTAACTGCCTAAAATTGCAAACAGATGTCTTTGCATATCATGTTTCGAAACTATGTTGAAAGCTTTTATATGTAAGTATTAGGACAAAATACTAACTGTTATTTATAGTTTTACATACCTCCCAGATCCAGTACCACGTATTCTGTCCCTGGCTTAAACATGGTTAGGGATTTGTTCGACCCAGTGTCCAACTTTTCCACCGAAAGTGTTCTGCAGTAAAGAGCAGCAGCTTCCGGTTCTAGTGCGATTGTAAGATTGTGTTCCTTTATGCCAGCCTAAAATATCGGACAATTTTCATAATATAATCTTAAGTCATGATGAGTTTCGTAAATAGTTTACAATTTAATACAAAAGCAAAAAATAAGAAACAAACAAATAATAAAAGATAAAAATATCCTGATATGTCGTGTTTGTAATTGGTTAAAATGATCTGTATATATCCTTTTGTAACACACAGATGAAGGTCGATTGCCAATAATACTTTGATGAAAATTTAAGAAGAAGAAGAAGAAGAAACAGAATCAATATCTTATTTCTAATCGTTTAATGTGTTTTGATGTTTATAATATCCATCGTTGACGTATCAAGCAGAATTTACGTTTTGTGCAGCCTCTCGCATAAACTGCTTGGCGCTGTCGTTCCAGATTGCAGGGACGGTCAGTACCCAGTGTGTCTTATCCGCAATCGATTCATATATTCCTTTCGTCTTTGCATGATCCATCAGGTGATCTTTCAGGTACTTAATACCGTGTGCGAATATGACCGTAGCAGGCATTGCTTTCTCCCCAGTGATATCAGGTATAGTATGATCCCGTCGTAGTTTCTGTTGGGTATGAATACACACATGATAAACATATGAACATCAATATTTATATTCTACCTCTAGTTGGTATTTTGGGAGTCACAATAACGGCATAACGCGTTTGTTGTTCTACGGTTTCCCTTCTTGTATACAAGTTACAGGTGTCCATGTTGTGTCGCCTTTTGTGTAAACAACCGGGGTTGGACGTCAACGGTATGAGGTTAACTGCCTTACCACGCGGATTTTTCTCTGAGTACTTCAGTCTACTCCTACTGGAAGATTTAAATTTAGGCCAATTCTGTACCTTAATCTTAGTTAACAAAATTAATAGAACGATATTCACATACCTTATTTCAAAACTGACGTAAAATGAAATGTCTAGTTTCTGTGTTTATGGTGATATATTCAGGTATGACAGCAAGTTGGGTATAAATCAATGTAAAATGAATGCACAACATGTATCTCGTCGTGATTCGGGCAACAGCGTCAATAAGTTCAGCGTTTCTTTTCTGTTAAGATACGTTCTATTTCTTGTCGAAAGTTGTCGAAATTTGAAAATATTATGAAGATATGGAAAACAAAAAACACAGCATTTTCTTATTTTCAATCACAAATATATTACCTGATATTTTTTTTATCAAAGAAGAGTGACATATACAGAAAGTTGAATGTCCAAAAATTGTCATTGTAATAAGATTCAAATTTTCGAAATTTCACAAATTTTGGTTGATATGCAGTGTTGAGATCGAAATAAATGAAAATTGATCATCTACAAAATTTTCAACAATCTTTCACCTTTTAATGAAAGGGGTTCTCAAATAAAAATGAGCACTTCGCTACATGTACATGACCTACATACATCACAGTAACACTAAATAATTCTACAGGTATCGACCTACCATGTTGTTGTGTAGCGTCATTTTGAAGCGTTTGAAAAAGTACCAATCCTCATGTTTGTCATCCTGGAAGAGATCTGTATATTTGCCTTCTGCCTCATAACCAAATGAATGAAAAGATTTATCGGGTTTTAACAGGACACATGTCGGTGCTTTGAGGGAGAACAGATTCCTGTGTCCCGATATCCATGCCTGGTTCGTGTTAATTTTGCTGTGATTCTGTTGGAAAGAGAAAGCATAACCCGAATAGGTCGTGCCAAAGTCAATCGCAGCCACGAAAATTCTGTCGGGATCAGTGGGTAACGGACGGGCGTATCGTGTTGCCATTCTCTGAAATGAAAGAAATAAAATATCAAAACATTAAGATATATGTGTAGTTGTGAATATATATGTTACATATGTCAGATTTTGTTCTGATTAGATAGGTATCGTCACGGCTTGATCCCGGGATCTGGGACAAGGTTTAATTTCTATTTACTAATTAATGCCTCTCCCCTATGGTCGGGGAGATGGTTTGCTATCCTATTTGAGCAATAGATCTATAGCTATCAGTACCGAGGGAAAAGTTAAAACGACCAGCTATCAAAATGAAAGGTGGTGGTGGTGATGGTGGTGGTGGTGGTGGGGGTTGTTGTTGTTATATCAAATCTGATTATAAACTATATGTATCAGTCCCGGGGGTAGGGGAAATAGTACTGTCAGATTTATACATGTATGAGATCCTGAGAGGAGTAGTCGAGGTTTATGTGGGAATACAAGCTACACTGTCTAACTTCTTGGTCTGTGGAGACACACACTGTACATCTTAACACCTCTGAATCATACGTAAAGAAAACTGACTTTTGTTGATCTAGCAAACAAAGTTCAAAATCATAGAGTCTTACTGATCACTAGGTTCATAACCTGCCAACCTACTCTTTCTTAACATTTTAGTTTTTAAAACCTGAAATGAAAATTCATAGAATGATTGTTTATATGAGGTAAAATACATATAAGTGTGTATTGTGCCAACCTTTATCACAGCATATACCTGTTTTCTTCGTGTTGTATATCTATATCTTCACAGTACATACATTCAAACCGAAAGTACTGACAGAAACACTGTGTAATATATGTGTGTGTACATGTCTGCACACGACACATCCGGTATGTGTGTAGAGAATGTTCTAGTAGCTAAAAGTTAAGATTTACGTTAACAAAACATTTCCTATAGGAAAAGACTAGCAATATTTTAGCGATAAATAACTAATTATTCCGATAAATAAAGAAAGTAATTAGAACCTGTCCTAGAGGTCTGCTAACTAGGACGACACACGTATGATCCACACCAAAATACAGGACTACACAGTAGAATTTACGCAATATATAATTAGATGATGATTCTCATAAAATATTATGACGATTTGTTTAGCTGAGATCTACAGAGATATCATTTGTGTGTGTGTTTGTGTGTGTGTGTGTGTGTGTGTGTGTGTGTGTGTTTTTTTTTTTTTTAATAAATCACGAAATTCTAAGCCGTGTTTGAAATCGAACTCCTTATAGTTCCCCTCTACTTTTGACGATGACCGCTCCCGTACCGGAAGTGGAAAAGGTTTTCGTTGTATGTAGCCGAGATCAGCTAACTCTGAATCCGTTCATCTGCCAAGGAATAATGCACGTATTTTCAACTTAGTATCCGAATCTCAAAACAAGCAACCGGAAGTGGTATAAAAAGTGAAAGTGAAACAGACGGACAGTATTCCCCCAAAACACTGCCACCCATGAAAGAGGGGTCCCCGATGGGGCTGCCACACTTGAAGTTAAACAGGTAAGATTATGATTTATAACCAATGCAATGTATCAATAATTTATTCCAAAATGGTCCGTATTAGTTGTATACAAGCACAAATGGTGATAGGGGTGAATGAACAATTTTTGGATAATATCAAATACCAATAAAAATTAGAACATACTTACTACTTTCGTTTTCAATTGCTTTACTATGACAAACGCTGACCTCGAAACATTGGTGAGTATGAATTTTTGTAAGCATTGACATTTATTTTACGTAGTTTGATAGAATAATTATATAATTAGCCGTCGATGATACAAGACGGCAACGCAAGCTGGATATTGAAAGCTTACTTGGTGTATTTTGTTGCGATATCGAACACCTTCCTGGTTCACCATTATAAAAATGGAAATATCGATTATTGTTTGCTAACATTGATATTGATTCTAGGTAACCTGTCCTTTCGAATATAACGATGACTGTTACCAGAAAATTAGATAAGGCACCTAATACTTACCTTATTATATCAATGTATTAAACCTCGAGTGATCAGGTGAGCATTTCATGGGAGGCCATCGACAGGGTGTCGAGATCATGTAGGCGTGCCAAATCCAGATAAGGTCAGGGTTGTCGGATACACTTTAGAAGCCGTAGTAATGAAAACAAGTGAAAGAATGTCCCAGTCGTTTCCATCTGCTATTATTAAATTTTATACCTGCAATTTACTTGGTAATTCATTTACAGATTGATTAATCTTGTCGCCGTCATCTGATCAACATACATCACGGAAATGGCGGCACCACAGGTACAAATCTTTTATTCATTGATACTTTTATTTCATTTTAACGCCTGGAAATGAAAATTAAGAAAACGATATCAAATGTCAGTTTGTATTTATTTTGTGTTATTTTACTGATACACAAAGCATTCTTGATCGTTAGAACTAGTTTAAATGCTGCATATTGATACATTTCATTGAACAAATAAATGTAAAAGGATCGCGACTGTTGATAAAATTCACATTCAGAATTTGATTTAAAATTTCATCACTATAATTTTATGTGAAAAGTAGAATATCTCATTAAAATATTGATTTATTGCGTTTAGATGTAGAATTTATGTATAGTTTTCACTGTAAAATATGTTAAACATTATTTTTAAAAAATCAGGCTGTTTTGTTAATTTTCATAATTTGAATTAAACACGAACAGATTTAATCGAACGGATATCATTGATTCATCATTAATCGAGTATAAAGTTATCCTATGTGAAAAAAAAAAAATTCGTTTGCTTTCAATTCATAACAGTCAATTAAAAAAATATAAGGAGTGATAAAAATATATTGAATCCTATATTGGACAACGTGAAAAAAAAGCAAAAAATCTAAAAGGCTTTTCCATGATTAGAGTAAATATGGTCGCTGAGATTTATCATGTGCAATCTTCAAATATTTTTTTTTCAAACACCAATTAACAAACTGAAATATTTAGTGTCAGGTGAAGACAATCTGAACAGTAAGTCATTAAGTAGGGGGTCTGTGTTTTCAAATCTGCAATTTGTGGTGACGATTCATGCCACGCTATAGACCGAATCACGCCGTTGACAAAACGTAGTCCACAAGCAAAACTTTCCACAAAACGTCATATTGTGCACTCTATTTTGGCTCCCACGTACATATACATCATTAGATAACAAAGTATTTCAGAACAAAGAGTCTCAGTTATCACGTTAGAATTTGTTTTCCACTGAATTACGTTCTGCTTCCGATCACACATGGCGTTCATACAACTGTGACGAAACAAATACAAGTGAGAAAAGAAGTCAGCTCCCTATCAGTTTGATATATTGTTACATGTAGTATTTCCGATAAACCGTAACATTAACAATTACTTAATTTTTTAACTTTCAGCCTTTAAGCAAAACTTCTTACGATCTTACAATGAAACTCAGACAAGAGTTAAAACCATTTGCTGGAGAATGCATTCCAAGTATGCTTAACAGATATGCGACGTCAGGTGACACAGCAACTTTACAGCAAGCCTTTGAGGAATTTCAAAACCTGGTTCAAAATTTTAAAGAATTATCTGAAAGCTATCCAAAAGAGGTAAGAGAAAACTCCTCTTTATTCAGTTCGTTCCAACACAATTAAACTAGTAAGTACTACGATATTCAATCAACTGCATTAAGGTAAGGGAAAGGTCAAGAACCCAAATAGACATACGTAAAAGAGTCATAGAAAATATTTGGACAGAACTAATCTGTTCAGAAGATATGTATAAGTTTATAATTTGGTATTTGTCACGTCTTTTTCACCAGGTCTTTAACTACTGGTTTGACGTTTGATCACAGTCATTTTATTTACAGTGTCTTTTTTTTTTTGTAAATACGTGGTAAAGCCTGATCTCTAAGTTATGGATATATGAATTGATCTCCACTTGTCTTTATAACAGTTATGTATTGAACGTCACATTCACGGATTGAAATACATAATTTACAGGGATCTTTAATTCTTAGATCAGGCACATTATCTGTAATCAAATAACATAGCACTGCATTGATTGCACGGTTCCTAGACTTGTTTAGTTTAGATTTAAGCGATACTGTAATGTCAGGGTTATTTTCTCCACACTTAGAGAGTTCCAAGAATTGATGACTTCACGATTTCAATCAGTCTGTACAACCCTTTGTATAGATATCTGGAGTGAAACTTGATTGTAGTGTCCTGAAATGATTTGAAAAAAACTCAAAACACACAACTTTGGATTATACATACAGAATTATCTTTGCTTACCCGACTGTTAAACGGTGGACTTGTTATGGTTTTTTCCTCTCAGTTGGCATGGGCAGATAAGCTAAAATTGTTGTCGATTTGTGCGCTGAGGTATTTTTCAGAGTCTGCTTTCTACACCCGTAAGGAAATACCTTCTAGATGAACAGTATATATTCTTGGTTTCTTTGGGACTGACTAATCTTTCCAGGTATTCACATCGAGATTTATTTATTAGCCACCTGTGGGTCCTACCACACACTGATGATCATTTCCATGTGTATTCTGTTGAACAGTGAACAGTGTCACCAACATGTCAGAAATGTGTTTGACATATACAAGAAAGATTGTTGGCCATAGTACACTCCCTTGAGGGACTCAATTAGTATCATTACTTGAAACTCCCTGAATCATTTTGTCTCGGAAAGCTTCACTTCACCCCAGCAATTAAGCACTACCCCGTACTGTTTACATATGCATGGAAGGAACTTAGGAGACGCTTTATCGAATGTTTCACTAACATCTAAGTAAACGGATTGCACTTTATCTAATTTATCAGTTCATATTTTCCGCTTAGTCCAATAGATATGTTATACAAGATTTCACAAAATTACATTGTCGTTTGCTAAAACGTTCATATGTCAAAGCGAGACCATGGCTTTTATTGTTAAAACTTGTTTAATTGTATGCAACTACTTCTGAATTACTTTTTCAGTGATATAACACCTGCTTAGAGATATATCATGATCATGCCGCATATTACGTACTTTTTTCAGCAAGCAGCTAGGATGAATGTCCCAATTCGAGGAATCATCAATTTAAATGACAAAGTGATAATAGAGTACGAAAAAAAGACTGCTTCTTCACTTGTTAAGTTAATGCGAACGTTCCAGGACCTGCCCAAAGAAAAATCCATCAGAGCTGCACAGGAATTACAAAATCTTATACTAGTAAAGCTCAAGCTTGAGCAGGTGAGTTTTTTTATGATGTGTATTGAAATAAGTCACCTGTATGCTATGTTTGCGCGGAGTAAAATTTGTTTCTGATAAAATAATATGTTCTTCATCATACATGCAATGAGCCTTTTGGTCTGGTTTATGATCTACCTTCAGTTGGAAATTATTCAATGGAAGGGTCGGCAAAGATATTGGTTAATTCAGCACCGAAACAAATGAAGAAAAAAGAAGAAAGAAAAGACTGAAATAAAAAGGAAATGAAGGGTGATTGCAACGAAGCGGAGTCGGGTTCATTTCGTTTATTTCGTTTTAACTGATGTGATACCCATTTATGAAAAGGAGTGAACAAAACGACATGAAATGAAAAGGAGACGACATGATGCCATTTCGTCTTTCACTCATTTGTTTTATTAAAACTTCTGTCTACTTTTAGCAATATCCTTGTGCCAAGTCTTCGAAGTCAGCGATCAAAGTAGACTTAAGACATACACGAGGAAATGAGCTCAATTTTAAACACAGGAATATCCGATTTCATGAATTCCATGTTGAATTCTTTAACAGGATTTCACGAATGATCATCAGTAGCAAGGTCTATATGATATACTCATTTGTATTAAGACTGATCTACAAGACACAGTTACCACATGGTCCCGTATTTACTCGAATATCAAATGTATATTGTTGATTTATATTCACCGTATTAGTCAGTGAATCATCGAGGTATCCGAGTATTTTATTTAAGGTAGTTCGAATGTTTGGTGTGAAGTTTGCGCGGGACGAACGATATACTTCGAATTAAAGGATTTATTCGAATTATACGAATTTCAGATAACGATGGTCGACTGTACTATAAAATCCGTACATTCATGTTGCAGTTGAAAATGGGTAGTAAAAAGACAGGAAACAGACCTGTATTTACCCGTGTCAGTTCTAAAGACACGCTGGGAGAACCATCCAGACCTCCCCAACCGGCTACCTCTATGGACACATCTGACAAAAGGTATTACAAACATTGTCAATCAGTTGTTATCAGAGTACAAATCATGCACGTTTTACAGTATTTATGAAAATATACTTGCAGTATAGAAAAGGAAGAATATTTGCAAATTAATTAAAGGAATATTTGGCATAGGGAAAACTTACTGTGCAATTCAAATTGCTTTTTAACTTGTTAGTGTCTTCTCTACAATTTAAATCAATATATTGCCATTAATTGGAGGGTGTTGTGGTATTTGAAAAAAGTGTTTTTTTCTTTTGTTTGGGTAGAGGATTTTGTTAGGGTCACTTGCTTTTGAACAATCAACATTGTTTGTTTGGAAATGGATTTTATAGAAGTTCAAGAACTTGTTTTAGAATTCAATTTGACTTGTACCATAAATGAACGTAACAATGTGTATGTTAAAATAGGTCTTGAAGAGGGATTTCGGAGTAAAAACCGACACTTATCTCGCTGAACACGAACACGTATTTTACTATTATTTATGGCAATTTGACTAAGTGTCTTGGCCAATATCATATCCTCAGCTTTCTGAAAAACATAAACTGGGCGGGTCTGGGATCACTTAATGAGGACGAAAGTGTCTTATAAGGATTGTAAAAAAGCCACAAAAATGAATAACACTTCATTTTGTTTTAAGATTTAGAATAGAATTACAAGAAAGTGATGAAATAAAGTGGTCGTCAGATGTAATTACACGATTTAGATGATGTGCTTCCAATATTATATACCAGTGACAAATAAACCAAACTTTATCCATCATTTTATCAAGATTTGCCTGTTCTATTTGTTTTAGCGAGGGCAAGAAAGCTCCTCTCCCTTTGCCACAATCTATGACCAGTTCCATGCTACAGGGTCGAGAGATGGCACATATGCCTATGATTGAATACCAACAGATGGTCCGGAGGCTGGAAAGCCAACAGAGGGACATAGACGAGATGACAAGCAGGTACAATATGCATGATGTCATTTATAAATTAATTGTACTGATGCCACGATTTTTCCATTGTTGTTCTCCGTTTTGACTTGGACACTTTCCAAAGTTTTATAATAGTGCATTGGTACCGTGGTGTATTGATAGTTTTGACCCAAGTAGTGAAGAAAAGATCTCAAAGATAGATACGGAGAACCGTCTTCTTTAGAATCAGTTTTTTCTCAGAAACGATAAAACACATGTATGTTTTCGTGACTTTTTCAATACGTTTTGTGTTAGTTATTGCATGTGCTCTTGATCAAATATAAGCGTATCGATTTCTTAAACTGTTTTTTAGAATTCGTAAGTTCATTTTGTCTAGTTCGTTTGAGTTTTGGTATACTAGATTAAGTGACAGTGTATGTGTTGTACAGTAACATTCCTGTCTGGTTTACCCGTACTGGTCAGTATACAATGAAAAATTGATTCTTACACAAGACAAGTATTTAATTCCAACAGAATTGTCTAGTATGAGAGATGTCTTGTAGTGTATTTGGTATTTTCTAAAGAAAGGTCAACCATGTCAACGTGTTAGCCATTTGCAAGATACATTTTTCTGTCAGATGTCTCCGACTGTCAAACAAATACTTACTTACTTTGATTTATCAAGATTTACATAGTGATCGTTCTTGATGAAGCAGAAGACGCTTTCCCTTCCGGATCACTTAAACTGATTTTTTTTCTTTGTTGTTTTTACTTCACAGATTAAGTCGCTTTGCCAGTAACCAAGTCACACAGGGAAACCCCAACATCGCAGATCTCAGTGACAAGAACCGCCCAACTAAAATAGGGGAGAAGTTCGGCGAGTTGTACGATTACGAATGGTCTGAAGCGTTCGAATCTTTCAAAGTCTTATTGAAAATAGAAAATGAGGATGACGAAAATCAAATAATAAGCCAACTATTAAGAATTGTACAAGTAAGTCCATGTTCAACTACATATAACATGACAAGAAAATAAACAATGTTATTTAGATGTTGATCTACTTCATGTCCAAATCACATTGACAAGTTGCTCTGATGCGATATTTTGTACAGATATATGATAAATATACTTTGTTTGTGTCGTTTGTTTACACTAGATAAACACATAGACCACTCGATTACTACTCAATGTTTATATTGCAGTCTACTGTGACGTTCTGCACAGACGTGGCCAACGAGCAGCTAGAGCAACTAAAGCGAAGCCTACAACAACCAATACGAGAAGTGTCCTCATCAGCTGGGGGTAAACAGGTTCGTGCACGAGGGTGTCAGTAGCAATAATTACCGTTCATGTTTTCAAAATAAACTACGAGTATATACTTATTAGATATTTATGATATTTTAATGGTAAGAATTAGGGAATGTAGATTTATTTAGCATCAAACTTTCATTTTTGCTTTTCGTAACTGAGAATTTCATGATGAATTAGTATGGAAGCAAAAGCAAAGGGCCCATATCCACTTGCTGTACTAACGACAGTTTCATTTAGCTACAGATATTAATACATTCTTATTAATGAAAAAAATAGATTAAGGGATACAATCATTTTTACTTTGGAAGCGCAAAATCGCCAAATGTAGTGTTTAATCGTTAGAGATTATGAGAAATCAAAATGATGGAAGGTGACTAGTCAATAACGTAAACATATGCTTTTCAAAGGATTGAAAGTGATATAGCAATGTAGAACTGATTTTTCACCTTCCTTGTGATTAAAGCTTGTTTATATTATCAGAGAGATGTCCAAACCGCTAGTATTGAGGTCAAAGGTCTTGATTCAACCGCTGAGAAGTATGCACGCAATTTTCGGAAAGAATGTGCTCTGAAATGTGTTCCAGCTATCACACAAGTAAGTTAACATTAATACAAATACAATTATACTGAGAAAAAAAAAACTCTTCAGAAAATCATATGTTATCAAAATGGTTGTAAATTTTGTCTTAATCTATGTTGTAGTTTTTTTTTCCATAATTCAAAATATAAAGTGCACATATGCAAATTGTTTTGGATGTTTTAGCAAGTAATGTTATGGTCCAAATACTCGTGTTACTTTTGCGGTCAATTTGGATAAAGCTCGACAGAGTTCTAAGCTACAACCTTGTCCAACTATTTTTGCGTTTCACTATTTGCTGAAAACATTAATTTCGTAATAGAACCTTTGGACTTGTTGAGATCAATGAGGATCACGTGACCGAATGTTGTAAGAATCGAACATCGCACAATGTATTCTCCATACATTGAACAGATGGACGCTGAGTGGATATGGTACGACAGCGTTTTCTGATATATTTCATGATTATTAATTGGAAAATTATCTTAACTTTGGAAGCCCCACAAGCTTAACCCTTATGATCATACTTAAACACTGAGCGTCTCTCTCTGGTAAGTGTATATTACTATAGACATATAGATACTTACATTATGAAATACAAAATGTTTAACGACCGTTGATATTGTATATTGCCCAAATTATCTTCGTTACAGTTGTACAAGATCACGCAGATTCATTCACATTTTGAGTGGGCCAGATCAAAATACCCTGATCATATCGACAAGTACATTGAACATTGTGTCGAACTGGTATGGTTGATGAGCGTTCAGGATCCGCCTATGTTCCTGTCCATTGCCGAAGCTGGCGAAAAGGTCCGAACAGACTTGTTCACTTACTACGGTCACAAGGGCAAGGTTGTTAGTACCACTGTTTGGCCGGCGGTCCTCCTGCACAAAGATGGCCCCATAATCAGTAAAGGATATGTTCTGCCACAGTGATACTTTTTTCGTGAAGTCACAATATCAATTTTAAATGCAGCACATTACTTGTGTAACTGCTTACAGTCAGAACATTTGTTCGTGATGATTGCTTCTATTTTAGTACTGAAATAATTATACCCAATGTATATGATAAGCTGGATGTCATGTGTAAGTAAGCTGGTCGATATGCAATGCTGTTAATTTTGTTTCGACCATCCGGGACACATTTGCTTGATAGTTCTTGATTTAATCTCTGTCATGTCGTGTTCCTTTGCATACACTTCTCTTGGTTTTCCATTTACTATCTGATTAAAGAGTTCTCATAACCGAGATAATTGATTTATATGGTGACTGACCTGTCTTGGAAACGTCTTATGTAATCAAAAATCGTTTACCATCATATTTGAAAATAAAACGATGATTTCATTATAATGTGTTTGACCTTTGTGAAATAGGTGTTGGAAGTTACAACTTATTTAAATCGAATGAAATGAATTCACGAATTCGAAATCTATAAGTTGTGGTGATAATTTATACAAAATTTGAAAGATGTACGTTTTGAGTTATGCTTAAGAGAAATACCATAACAACCATAAAATGTTGAAATCTTGACTCTATTTACCGAATCACGCCGTCAACTACGCCGCCAAAAAAGTAGTCCACAGCGAAATATCTTCAAAACGTCATAAGAATCGCCCTTTTATAGTGTACAAGTACAACTATAGGTAAAGTGTATATGGACACTTAAAACGAAGATTTTATGTTGGAATTCAGTTTGTGTTGAATATTGCTTAACTTCCGGTTAAACATCAAAGGAGAGGATAAACGTATCTCTATATATTATTGATAATGTATTTGTTCACCCCACACGCTTTGATGATATCAGGTTTCACAATGTTATTGTTCAACCATTTCCACCATGTAAGGATGAACAGTGTCACAACCATCCATCTCAATATTGTTATAACTACTTATACCATTTACCATTATTTTCACAATAAGGATGACATTTGTTATTATATCACCATTGAAACTGCAGTCGAACCTCTTTGTGTCGAGCTCTATGGGACCAAGGGAAAACTTCGAGATAACTGAGTATTCGATTTAAATGTTCGATTATTTTTTTTTTTTTAATTGTTTTTGTAAAAGTAGGCAGGGACCGACGAAATACGGGAATAACCATACTGTGTGTTTAAATTTTCGATGGTATATGATGACAATACTGAGAAGTGTACCACTTGAGTGAGACTCCCAGTTGGATTATTTCAAACATTGTTATCGCAGAGGGCCATGGTAGAGGCCAAGTATCATTGTGACAGCATACGTATTCACTTTAATAGTGATGTTCCACTCTCTTTAATGTAATGATGTAGAACTACTATAAGTACTAGGAAGAAATTGATAACATTATGTAATCCACAATGCTGTCCAAAATGTTGCCATGGATACATAGACAAAGGACGTCAAAATCCCAAAACGAAACTGAACGCACACAGAAAACTAACCAGAAAAAAATTGAAGCATTATATATATATTCTTTAAAATATTAACGTTCACATATACTGATAGTAGAAATCAGGTTTCGAGAATCTGCATAACTCTGAACAGATACAATTTAATCATTTTGTGAAATTATGACAAATGTTAATTGTGTACTAGTACATGTGTTAATTTGACTTGAAAAAATCGCCTAGTAAGAATATGTAATATGTGACACTATCAAGTAGATCACTCTGTTGTTAAACCGGAAATGGTTATATGAACAGGAAGCAGTATTTTATTGTATATAATGTTGGTTGGAAATTTAAAATATGAAAATAATAATTTTCATGAATTTATTGTTGTTTAATTTAGCTTATAACAGGAATTGAGTGTTAAATATGTACATAGTATATTGCACCAAATATGACCTTTACCTGTCCAGCACTGCATAGCCAAGTAGGGACTTATGTAAACAATGGTAGCCAGAATTCATATAAACAAATGTGATGTGTATATATAAACAGTGCAGTACAGTTAGAGTAACGATGATTGTATAATTATAACGTAAAATATTTCAAGGTCATGAGAAAATAATAGTTTAGATAGTGAATTGTATATAGTTGCTTAGTACAGCATTATGAGTATGTAAGGTAAACATGACCGATTTAGCAGATGTTAGGTTCTGCGTAATTGTTAAGTATTTGATTATTATATATGTAAATAGTGACCAATATGCGGTGGGTCTGAAGACTGGTAGTACCAATTGTCATTCCAGACAATAGCTTCCTGGGATTGGGGAATGGACCAATCAACGGTCGTTGCACTAAATGTGCATCCCCAATCCATCAGCACTTATCCCATACACAATAACAAATGGCGCCAAGATTCTGCATTTTGTGTCCAAATCGGTATCATTTTGACAGAATCTTGATATGGTTGGGTCGCCAGGATCAACCATTGTTCTTGAGGAATTTCCACCTGCGGAGTTGTCCGACTTTTGGCTTCCCCTATAAATACTGGGCAGTTTTCGCTGCTCATTGCACTTGGATCTAGGGACGCCAAAGGGACAACTTCCGGTTGTGGGACTGACTCTACGGAAGCGTGATAGGGAGCGAGCCTTCTTGTGGACTTCACTGTGCTATATAAACAACAAGTAGAAAGGAATTTGGACTTGGCTTTTTCTTCGGGAAACACAACGCGAGCGGGGGCACAGTGGGGTTACAAGAGGTGATTTGGTGCCGTGACCAGGATCCAGTAACAACATCTTAACTGGATTGGCTCTTATAAGGTAGGTGGAACTCTTTTCGCATTTTGTACCTTATCACTGACCTTTGGCAGCATCTTCAATTGTTTACAATTAGGTTATTAATTGTAAGGGAAGTAGGATAGCTTATGACGTCATGGTTAGCTTGTTATTAGATGTAGAAATGAGTAGTATTGCTGAGAGAATGGCTAACCTAGGTACCCCCCAGTTAAATGAAAGGCTCCCCCCTCAGGAAAATCCATCCTCAAGTGCCCCTGGGAGAGGGACTCCTCAAGATGATGGGGAGGTACTCATAAGAAGCATGGCGCAACAGTTCAAAAGTCTTTCGGCGGCTATGACAGCACAGGGTGTGTTTCAAGTAGTAAAGGTTTTTGAAGGTGACCCTTCAAAGTTTAAGGCTTGGATCAAAGAAATCGAAAAATATGCTAAATTGGTAGGGTTGGACAATGGGTCCATACCAAATATAGCTTACCAGACAAGTACGGGGTCAGTAGGTGACTTTATTAAAAGGTACATTGATTCTATGGAAGGAGATGGAATCCTTAGTTGGGAGGATTTAAAGAAGTTATTAAAGCAAAGGTTTGCTGAGATAACAGACTCACAACAGGCCCTGGCCTTGTTGAGAAAAACTAGGCAAAAAGACACTGAAAGTGTGCAAATATTTGCAGAACGACTTCTACAGATAGCTGAAGACGCTTACACTAATGCTCAAGACAATGATAGGGGAATAGTGCAACAGCAATTAGTTAATACCTTTTGCGACGGGTTGGCATATGACTACATTAAAATGAAAGTCATGAGAGAAAACCCCCAGACTTTAGAAGACGCTGTAGGCATAGCAATGAGGGAACAAAACTTAAGAAAACGGTTTGATTTAAGAAAAGATGACAGTGATGTCTTTCATAAAGTAGATTCCCAAAGATTGGAACCAAAAACAGTCTCAAGACATACTGACAACGACCCAAGACAAATTGTCCCTATGGAAATAGACCATTCAAGACAAAGACAATGCTATAGATGTAAAAGAGATAATGTTATGGCAAGGTCACACCCCATTTCTAGAGACAGACCAAGGTTCAGACAGTACAATTCGGATAGACAAAGTTGGTTCAAACATCCAAAGAATCATAAAGACAATAGCCACACCCAAACAAACAGCTCTCAAGCAAAACCACCATTAGTTCCTCCTAAATCTAATCATGTACAGGCTTTAAGACAAGACGTAAGACAAGACAATCACGAAAACAACCGGTTATATACACCCACGTTAGTGTGTTGGCATTGCAATAACGTAGGACATATAAAAAGAAATTGCCCTCGCCTAAGTGGTAGTTACCCAAGAAATACTCAGTTAAAAAACCTCTCCCCATAAGGAAACCGATGGAGAGAGGAAAATTAGGTCAGGTAATCCTGTATCTAAGACAATAAATATATCAGGTAACCCAAGTACAACTGTGATAAAATTAGGTAAACAAAGAGTTAGAGTCTTGATAGATACTGGAGCTGAGGTTTCCCTTATTAATGATAGGATTGTTAAGACTTTTCCAAAGAAGCCAAGATTAAGAAAAGAAAACATGACCCTCCAGACAGTCGGTAGTACACCAATCGAGGTAATAGGTTCTGTTGAACTTCCTTTTCAAATGAGAAACATGACCTTAAGTCACAAGTTTTATGTTGTTAAAGGAATGAATAGGAACTGTATTCTTGGACTAGATTGGTTAAGAAAAAATGGCGTTAGAATGTACTTTGATTTGGCATGCATGCGTATAGGAAAGACATATGTTCCCTTAGAGGAAGATGTACATATTGCTTCTATAATTCGCATCACCAAGAAAACTGTCTTAAGACCACAAACAGCTACCATATGCAATATTAAACTTGTTAGAAGCTTTGAAGTGCCCAAGTCAAGATTACTGAATATTTCTCCTGAAATATCAAGTGAAGAGACACCTTGTATAAATAATGAACCCGGGGTAGTATTACAGGAAAGCATAGCTCAGGTAAAAAATCCCTTTAAGATACCAGTCTTATTAGTTAACAATACCAATAGAACAATGACCTTAAGACGTGGTAGTGTAGTAGGGAAGGCAACAGCTGTAGAAACAAAAGACATAAGTAGTGCAACTGTAACTGACAAAAATGGCAACAGTAAGGAGGATTTTAAAGATGTAAGTGTACCAGAAAAATATAGAGAAGACACTATTAAACTTCTTAAAAGAAATAGAGACCTATTTGCGAAGAAAGACTCAGATTTAGGTCATACTGACACAGTGAAGATGCATATTGACACAGGAAACAACAAACCTATAAGAAATCGTGCATACCGCACCCCACTCAACAAACGCGATGTCATAAATGAAGCCATAGATGAGATGTTAGAGGCTAAAGTAATTGAAAGGTCAAGAAGTCCTTGGTCCTTTGGTCTTGTTGTTGTAGACAAGAAAGATGGCAGCAAAAGGATGTGTGTCGATTTTAGAAGTCTAAATAAGATTGTGACACCCATGTCAGTACCACTTCCTTTGATAGATGACATCTTAAACCTTCTTGGCCAATCAAAGCACTTTACTACCTTAGACTTGAAGAGTGGGTATTGGCAAGTTCAGTTAGACGAGGAAAGTAAACCTAAGACAGCATTTGCTTGCCATAGAGGTCTTTTCCAGTTCAACAGGATGCCCTTTGGTTTAAG